TTTTTATCTTCTTTTCTTTTTAAAATTCTTATCACTTGATATAAATATTTTCTGTTATTTTTGATAAAAATAGTAACTCGTTTTTTAAATAATTAAAGTTAATGCTAATATTAATTTTATTAATGATTATCTATTACTTTTTATATTATTGTTAAAATTGTTTGATAAATATATTGCTAGGTAAATTGATAATCGTGTTTGTTTTATTGATTTTTTATATAAAATTAAAAGAAAATAATTTAAGATTTTTCATTTAAGATTTTTCAAATTTTTTTTTATTTTACTGGCAAGTATATTCGACAGCAATACGCTGTCGAATATAATCCAGAAAAAAAAAAAAAAACATGTTCGACAGCCAAAAGCTGTCGATTAAACAAGTTTAATCGACAGCTCTTGGCTGTTGAAGATAATCCAGAAAAAAAAAAACATGTTCGACAGCCAGAAGCTGTCGATTAAACTCTGGCTGTCGATTAAACAAGTTTAATTGACAGCTTTTGGCTGTCGAAGATAACTGGACAAAATTATAAATCTGGCTGAGAAATTCTGTCGATAATCAATATATTCGACAGTAAAATTCTGTCGATTACACTTGTTTAATCGACAGAGAAATTGGCTGTTGAATATACTGATTATCGACTGTAGTATATTCGACAAAAAAAGTTGTCGAATATGTCTGTCGATTATAATTTAATCGATAGAAAAGCATTCATATTCGACAGAATCCTTTATCGAATATACTGCTTTTTCCAGTAGTGAATCAAAATGATCTCTCTCCCTTTTTTTTTTTTTTGCTATTGGGAAAAGAGTTCAGGTTTTGATATTTTATGAAAAATTGTAAGAAATAATTATGGTCATCAAAATTTACAAAAGTGAGGAGGAAATCACTTCAAATGAAAAGAAAATGCATATTTTTATTTAAAACCAAAATAAACTAGAATAGTTATATACTTCGTTACACATTCATGGAAACTGTTAGTGTTTAATGGAAATCGTCAATTTTAATGACAAAAGTAACAAAAACTATCAGTTTTAACAACAAAAGTAACATAAACTATTAGTTTTAATGGCATAAGTAACGGAAACCGTTAATGTGTAACAGAGTATGTAACTTTACAGAGTGTATATATAATTTCCCAATAAACTATTAATGATTTTGTAGAAGAAAAACTAGAAAACATAAAGGGAATTTTAGAAGCAAAAATAGAACTAGAACCTTATAGCTCACTGGAGCAATAAATCGTTGATACCATATAGAAGAAATTGATGCATGTGAATGCAGGTAGGGAAAACTAAAAGTAAGGCATAACAATTTATTATTCTATGGTATGATAATAAGTATATAGGCCATCTTTATATAGGCATTGCATTTAGTATGTGATGGGAATGGGCCCAACATTCAACCTAGGCCATGTACAACAGGCCAAGACATACATCTGTAAGCCCAAAATGAAGAGACATCCATACACTAGTACAGACATACCCACGTGGGTAGTAACACGTGGACCAATCGAATGCTCACATGTAGGGACTTAGGTCATCACATGGGGCTATAAAGACCCCTCAACTACCTCCACTTAAGGTATTAACTCCACTACGCTTCTCTCTCTACAATTACTCCTTAAGAGCTTCTCTCTCTAGAATATTGAGTATTGCTAACTTGAGCATCAGAGAGTTCCCCAAGGAAACATTCTTGGCATTTTCAGGTGTTGAAGCAGTTGGAGATATTTACAATGTAGGATCGTGAAGCTGCCTAAACATTTGGTGCCGTTTGTGGGAACTTAATGAAAAGTGATGTAGTTTAACTAGCTTGAGCTAAAAATGGTACGTACCTTTACAGGGAACCGCCCCCCAAGAGGTAGCATGGATGACCAAGATAATACTCAACCTTTGGAAAGTGACCTGAATGACTTCCGGCCAATGCCGAGAAACCTTTTCATTGGCAAAGTAGAACAAGAACAATCAAATAGCTTGGGTGATGAACGAACACCTATTGGGTATGCAACCCAACCCAAAGAACAGTTTCACATCCCAGCGGAAACTAAGCGAAGGCATTCTAGGCAAAATGCTTCACTACCTGAGAGACCCATGGAATTTGCTCGAACAACCGAGTTAGAAGAAAAAACTAGAGTTCTAGAAATGGCCACGGGAACAATTCTCTCTCGTCTGATCCCTGATGTCCCATTAATTCCTTTGCTGAATAGGGGTGAGCAGCCAGTAGTAGTAGTTGCAACTTGCAACTCCCCGGCCTTGAGTAATGTGGTGGTTCCAACCAAGCCAAGGGGAAGTGGAAGATTAAATCTAGAGCCCGGCTTGTCCAAGCACAATGATGAATTAATGAAGAAAAACGCAGAACTCGAGAAGCAGCTTAAGGATATGCAAAGGTTTGTTGATGAGCTAAAAAGTCCGAGGTCACATCAGTAAGCCTTGGATTTAGATAGTGCTCCTCTCAACATGTCCATTACAGCAAAACCATATCAGGAGGGATTTAAGATTCCCCATTTAGAAACATATGATGGTTTTGATGACCCAGACGAACACTTGCACGCCTATCAAGCCATCATGAAAATTCAGAACATTACTGATGCAATGATGTGCAAGGTGTTCCCTGCAACGTTGAAATCCATTGCTAGAAGATGGTACCACAAGCTTCCCAGACACTCCATAGCTTCGTACTCCTAGCTCGCTACTTTATTCTCTAATAAATTTGCAAGCCAAAGGGAGATAAAACGAACTGCTATTGAGTTGATGCAAGTACACCAGAGGGAAGGAGACTCTTTGAGAGACTATATGCAATGGTTCAACAAGGCCACCCTGGACATTGATAATGTCCCTGATACCATCTGTTTATCTACGCTACTGCACGACCCCAAACCTAGTTGGTTCCTAAACGACTTATTGGAAAATCCACTAAAGTCGTGGAATGAAGTAAATGACAGGTCAGTGAGCTTCATATTGTTAGAAGACTTTTAGTCGTCCAAGTGATGGGCTGACGATAAACAAAGTAAGGAGCATAAACAGCCAGAAGGAAGAGAAGAAAAGAAAAGGCAAAAAGTTGGCAAGTAGAGAGGAAAGCCGTCTTCCTTCCCAAAATATGCCAATTCCATTCCTCTAAGCTCGTCAAGGTCGCAAATCTTGGCACAAATCCAACATTGGGTCAAAAGACCACCTCCCCTACTACATGATTCCTCATGAGCAGATAGAAGCAAATATTATGACTATCAACGTGGATATGGCCACAACATAGCAAACTACTAGAGCTTGAAGGACGAGCTGGAATTCTTAGCTCGCAATGGAAAACTGGAAGGATATGTCCAGAAATCGTACACGCAGCAGGCCAATCAGACTCACTTTGTGCAAGAGTATAGCTGACCTCAAGGGCAAGGGTCCCAGCTCGGCAATAATCAAAATCCATACCAAGGGAATCAATACTCTTCTGAATCTAGCAGAACATACATAGGACGCCTATTCAACAGACGAGGACAAGGACAGAAAACCTCTACATAGAACCAAAAGGACCATAGAGGAGTCGATTATAGTGTGATACCTCCACCTTCTAGCACAATCAACATGATCTCAAGTGGCATGTACTTAAGGGGCCAAAGCACTTGAGGTCGTAAAGCCTATGCTCACCAAGTGATGATAGTGAACAAGAATAGGCCACTTAAACGACCATTTGAGGAAACAGAATGGGAAAATATGCCTATTACCTTTAGTCCTGCAGATTACAAACGACTAGAGGGAAAACCCAACGTCATGATGCCCCATACTGACCCCTTCGTGGCAACAATCCACATCGGTAATCACAATGTCAATAAGGTCTTCATAGATACAAGCAGCTCTCTAGACATTCTATATTGGAGGTACTTTCAAAAGATGCAGTTAAACGCAGCTTCCTTGAAGAAATATGAAAGGCTAATCTATGGATTTAACAATCAGCCCATCCCTGTTGAGGGAGTAATCACACTTCCCATCTACGTGGGTGCTGAACCACGGTTTAGAATGGCATCAGTGAACTTTATGGTAGTTAAGATGGAATCAGCTTTCAACGCTATAATTGGAAGTGCTACACTTTGTGAATTGAAGGCTGTCATCTCTTAACCACATCTTTGCATGAAGTTCCCAACTCCTCAAGAGGTAGGAGTGCTTAAAGGGAACCAAAAAAATGGCCAGAACCTGCTACCAGGACACATTTAAAAAGGTCGAGCTTGCAATAGCACCCAAAGCCTCTATTTTAGAGGCTCCCACGTCAACCAAGTCAACAGACGATGAGCATTTCTAACCTAGATCACGACCTGAGAATGTGAAGCAGAAGGCTGAGCCAGTAGAGCTAGTAGAAACAATTCCATTAAATCCGAATGAATTAGAAAAAATGGTGAAAATTGGAACTAAGCTTATAGAGGAAGAGAGGATGGAGCTCTTGGAGTTTTTGAAGGCCAACCAAGATGTTTTCGCATGGACAACAGACGAAATGTTTAGAATTCCGACAAAGTTGGCAGTCCACAAGCTCAGTACAAACCCCACCAAGAAGCCAGTGGTTCAAAAATGCCGCCTTTTTGGCCTTGAGAAGCAAGCCACTATAGATGCAAAGATACAAAAGCTATTACAGGTAGGTTTTATTAGGCGGGTTGACTATTCACAATGGGTGTCTAATCCTGTGCTCATCAAAAAACCCAATGACAAGTGGAGAATGTGCATTGATTTCACAAACTTGAACGAAGCATGTCCTAAAGACCCACACCCCTTGCCCAATGTGGAGAAGTTGGTAGAGCAAGCAACAGGCCACGTTTGTATGAGCTTTTTAGATGCCTACTTGGGATACCACCAAGTTCAGCTCTAGTTGGATGATCAAGAGAAAACGACATTTTATGCGGGGGACACGATTTATTATTATGTCATGATGCCATTTGGCCTACAAAATGCTGGCGCAACATATCAGAAGTTGGTTCAGGTCATATTCAAACTTCAGATTGATAGAAATATCGAAGTTTACGTTAATGATATGATTGTCACTAGTGTACGAGCTGAAGATCATATTGGTGACTTGGATGAAACATTTCAGACTTTACGTTGAGCGCAGATGAAGTTAAACCCGTTGAAATGTACATTTGCTGTAGAATCGGACAAATTCCTAGGGTATGTGGTATCCAAGAAAAGGATTGAGGTGAACCTAGACAATGTTGAGGCTATGCAGCAGATGAAACCCCCTAAAACAGTAAAAGATGTGCAACATCTAACAAGTCGTCTCGCTGCCCTGCATAGATTCATTGCCAGGTTGCCAAAAAAAATGCCTTCTGTTCTTCAAAGCTTTGCGATAGCTCAAGAACTTCCAATGGACTGATGAATGCCAGTAGGCTTTCAATGAACTCAAACAATACCTGGCATAACCACCCTTGCTCTCCAAGCCTGTCGAAGGAGAAAAGTTGTACTTGTATCTGGGGATCACAGATGAGGCAGTTAGCTCAGCTCTGTTAAGAGAGTAAGATAAATGTTAGAAACCCATTTGTTATACAAGTAAAGTCTTATAGGATACTGAACGTAATTATCCAATTGCTTAAAAGGCTACTTTTGCACTCATTTGCACCGCTCAAAAGCTAAGAGCCTTCTTCCAATCTCATGAGATTGTTGTCTACACCAACCTACCACTAAGGAAGATATTGCAGAAATCGGAGCTTTCGGGTCTGCTAATTCGATGGGCAGTCGAGCTGAGTGAGTACAACCTCAAATTTCAACCATGCACAACCATTAAGGGCCAACCCTTAGCAAATTTCTTGGTGGAATGCCACTCGACGGTTGTAGAGAAGGCCACATCGTCATACCCAGTATGGGCTTTGTACGTAGATGGGGGCCGCCAATGTTGAAGGATCAGGGGCAGGGGTAGTGTTAATGGGCCTAGATGGCTTCAAATCTGAGCATGCATTGAGATTCAAATTTCAGACAATGAATAATGCTACCGAATATGAAGCACTCATTTATGGTATGAAGTTAGCATCCGAGTTGAAAGCGCAAAGCATAAGATTCTTTAGTGACTCCCAGCTCGTAGTGAATCAAGTAACTGGAAGTTGTGATATTAGAGACCCTCAGCTCGGTCGTTACGCCTCCATGGTTGGCAGGTTGAAATCAGGTTTTATCTCGTTCCAGATTGACAAGATACCAAGAGCGGATAGTTGATAAGCTGATGAGTTGTCGAAGTTAGCTTCATCACAAGATATCAATCCTCAGAGGATAATATTCATTGAGGTACTTGATGCTCCAAGCTATACCAACCTAATAGTTAAGTGCCAAGTACTAAGTATAGACCCCTCATCATCGAGCTAGCCTACTCCCTTGATTAATTACTTGCGAAATGGTGAATTACCTAAGGATCCATCTAATGATCGATTAATAAGACACAGGGCGGCACATTTCACCTTGATTGATGATCAGTTATATAAACGAGTAGCTTCAATGCCCTTGCTACATTGCCTCACTCCTTAGGAGGCTGAATACGCAGTGAGAGAAGTTTATGAAGGGGTGTGTGGCACACACATAGGGGGAAAAACCCTTGCTCGAAAACTCCAAAGGCACGGGTATTACTAGCCTACTATGGTTGAGGATGTGCAAAGTTATGTCAAAAAATGTCCAACCTGCTAGTTCAACGTTGACGACATTCACATGCCAGGTACCTAAGCTCGTTCTAAAATTTGCACAAACTTCACATTTGTCTTTAAGCTAAACATGAATATCTCCTTTGGCACAGGATAAATGTTATCTTCCTTATCATCACCATGGCTTTTTGCTCAATGGGGAATTGATTTGCTCAACCCTTTTGTCAAAGGCAAAGGAGGTTGCACACACCTCGTTGTTGTTGTGGATTACTTTACCAAATGGATAGAAGCCAAACCGTTGTCCACAATAATAGAGAAGAAAATAGAGGAGTTCCTGTTCAATTCCATATTGTGCAGGTACTCATCAATGGTTTAAACCACACATTCATTACATGCACAAGTACTTGTATCTTAGTTAGTGCATTTGTATGCAAGTTTGGTATTCCTAAGCAAATAATTGCTAATAACGGACCCCAATTCCGAGCAGTAGCACTCAGGTTGTTCTGTGATGATTGTAACATTGAGTTGACCCTCACTTTTGTGTATACCCCGCAGTCAAACGGACAAGCAGAGTCAACCAATAAAATCATCTTGCGTGGCCTTAAGACACATGTCCCATCTGCGCACTCTAATTGGGTTGACGAGCTCAACAAAGTACTCTAGTCATGTCATACTACGCCCAGCTCGGCCACAGGCGAAACCCCATTCAGTCTTGCCTTCGGAGCTAAGGCCGTAATCCCTGTAGAAATCGGATTGTCGCCTGACATATTAGATCGGCGTAACAATTCTAATAATGAACAACTCCTAAGAGAGAACTTAGATCTCGTGGAGGAGGTTATGGAGATGTCTTGTATGAAAAACATAGCCTATCAGAGTCGTGTTGCTAGATTTAATAATAGAAGGATGCATGCTTGTCAGTTTCAGGTCAGTGACCTAGTTTTACGCAAGGTTGGACTCACCAATGCTTATTCACACATGGGTAAGTTCACTCCAAACTAGGAGTGTCCTTACATGGTTATTCATATTAAATGACCTGGGTCTTATTTGTTAGTAGATCTTCAAGGTTGTCAATTACCATTCACTTGGAACATACACAACCTCAGAAAGTATTATAGTTAGTATGTATGTTATCAAGAAATGTACTCAGAGTATGCAAAATGTATGCACAGTTCAATAAATACGAAAATTCCATAAAATCTCCAAATTTGTATTTTTGTTCAAAATTTACACGTTGTAGTACAGAAGATAATGATATGAGTGTTCAGAAGGGTTAAGTGACCAATACAAAAAATACAAAAGAAAGAAATAAACCTAAAACTAATCATCCGTCAAATCGACAAGGATGGACGTGTCAACAGGCGCAGCAGGAGTTTGAAATAGAGATGGCTGAATTGGAGTAGGACGAGCTAGAGAAAGAGGAGTTGGCATAATGGCGGGTTGAGAAGTTGGTGGAGTACTTGATGATTCAGCCTCCTCCTCGAGTGGCTCTGTCACCCAAGCATCGAAGCTCGATAAGCCCTTTGTATCCTCCCCTTCTTCTGCAATGGTGGGAGGCCACACCGGCACTCCTTCCTCATTTAGCTCCCACCTCAGCCGCACCATCGCATCAGTAGGATGAGCGAGACTTTGCCTCGTTCATCCATTTCCTCTCCCTCAAAGAAGGCCAACTCGTTGATTGGGAAGTCAGCTTGGTGCTGTAATACCTTCCCACGAATTTCATTGTAGATCTTTGTGGTGGTATTTGCTAAGGCGATTGCCACAATGTCTTGAAACATATTAGAGTCGACCAACCACTCTACTCCTTACACTCGTGCAATGCATACAGAGCACTAGTGAGACTTTTTGACTTTGTCAAGCGATGCCTTAGCTCAGGCAACATTCCAGTTGGCTTCAACCACCCTCTCCTTTAAGGAGTTTAGCTTGTAAAGAGCCTTGTCCCTCTCAAGTTCCACTCTTTTGGCATGGTCCCTAGCACAGCCAACCTCATCCTTTATGGCTTGAATCCCGTTGTCTCTTTTAGCTCGAGCCTTCTCCAGTTCCTCTTTCAGCTCGCTCACTTGGTTGGCCAACCCGTCAGCTTGGCTCTTAGCTGACGCAGCTTTTTTGGCCATCTCAAAGCTTTGCAAGCGGCTAACCTCGTCCTCCAAGCTTGCTTTCTTAGAAGTCAGCTGTTTGCAGCTCTCTTTAAGCTTGCGCTTTTGCCCGCGTACCCCTTGCTCGCACTCAAAAAGTGCGACCGCGTAGCTGAACGCCTACCACATAAATTCAATTGTTAATTTCCAACATAAAATTAAAAAGTGTAATAATATAAACACTCAGTGAGAAAACTTACGTCCATCAACTTTAGCATAGCAGCATGGCCCCCATGTTGCTAAATGTGCCCCTTTGCACACTACCGATCTGCAGTGGGAACAAAACTTTGCATACCTTGCACCATGGCAGATTGGCAATCAGTTTTGATGTAACTGAAGCCCTTAGGTTATGCAATCCTGGGCCCCAATACAGATGTTGAGGCAAGCAACGCCTCAGCCACATCACGTGCCAGTGCAGATGGCACATTGGATGACCGCGTTATAGCGGATGGAACGGGCTAAGCCCCTGAGCTCGTCCTCCACCAGATGAGTGGAATGTCATCCTCTGCATATGAGTCATCATGAGCACGCCTTCGAGAATCTAAAGGCTGAGTGTCTACTCTATGCTCAGCTCGAGATTTGGACACCGAGCTTGAACCTCGCTCCCTCTATGACGAGCTACGGGATGGCGCAATAGGCGGTTGTTCGTCAAAGCGAGTCTGCCATTGCAAGCTAGACCTCGCTCCACGGTTACGCGAGCTTTGAGCTCGTTGATGTTCCCTCTCAAGTATGCTGCTCATTTCTCCTGCACAAACAAATACATAAGACTCAAATTAGCTAGAATTCACAATATACAATAGAAATATACCTTTGGTGTGTTGGTTTGCCACGTCGACAAACCCAAACACAGCGAGCTATTCGGAGGTAACCAGGGCCTCTACATTGACTAATCCCTCAGCCCTCACATAATCTAGTAGCTGATTTTTTAGGTCGACATCACGAGTCAATTGAGGGTAGTTCATGTATGTGTTTAGACCACGCCACTCAGAAATACGGGCAGTGAGCTCATTATTCATCCTCTCTGTTCGCGTGTCACAAACCTAAATGAACTATCTCTTCCACGTCGCTACTTTGCTCCTTATATTCGTAAAAAGAATCATCTTCTCCCTCTTGGAGATATAATACCACCTTGTCTCGCTAGTAGAAAGGCATAATCGACACAAGAATAACGACCTGAAAACTATCGCCTTTGTTGGTATTTCCAACCTCACACACAATAGCATAAACCATACAACAAACTTTATGCTATTGGGGGTCAACTGCGTTAGGGCCAGCTCGTACTCTACCAGAACATAAAAAATTAGCCCGGGTAGAGGAAAATGTAGACAGGTGTCAAAATGATCTACGTACATTGGCACCCATCCCATCCCAGACACTAAGCACGCCCTTTCATTCTTCATGCCAATTCGTATCAAAATTGTTTTAGAGATTTGGTACTGTCTCACCATCTCCAATTTTTTGTACCGTTTAATGGTAGCCGCACTATTTGCTACCTCATGATAGAGCGCTGCCTTGAACTTGAATCCAGCGGGTAGATTTTTTGGTGCTTTCTGAATATTGCTCAACCTTCTACTGACAGTTTTACCATCCCACTTTGTAAATATAGGCACACCTGCCTCCACAAGCTCCATGGAAGAACTGCTAGCGCTTTCTCCCTCATCTCCCACCTCACTAGACGTCCCCTCTGAAGACAAACCTTTAGAGGCTACAAAATGGTGACTAGTAGAGTCACCATGTGCGCTGGCACCATCGTTGCTCTCTGGCGTAATAGTTTCTGGCAAATCTTGTAGTTCCAATGGCATTATCATCGCAATGGGTTCCACTGAAATCACACCCTCTTCCTCTTCTCTACCCTGGTTACCCCGAAGTTCTCTAAAGAAATCCATTTTTCCTGAATCTGATGTGTATAATACTCTTCTGCATTTGTGATTTCAAAGTTGTGCTCTTCAAACTTCAAAAGTTTCGCTACAGAAAATGACAAAAAGTATAATGTAGAGCAACTAGAAAGTGGTTATATGATCGTTCCTCTGCCATTTTTCTCAAGCAGATTGTCCAGCCTTAATTGCCATACACGTGTCTCTAACGCGCCATTTAAAATGCCACACGTGGTAGCCACTTAAGCGATTATGTGTAACATCCACCGGCTTTAGCTGTTACACCTCTTCAAATGCTAAGCCAACATTTATTGTAGGGAAGGTAGAGAGGCAAAGGGATATCAAACGTATCTCCTCAGAGATTTGCTTCATTTTAAAATTTGAAAAATCTTGAAGGCTTAGGTCATAACAAATTTCCTCAGATTTGTTCCGCACGTTAGGGATCTACTCCATTATGACGATTGAGGCCGCCCATTTTAGCTTGGCTTCGTAATCACATCTCGTTAGATATCTTAGATCATGACAAGGTTCACATTCCCTCAATAACATGTCGACCTCGATACTTTGTTTTAGAATTTTTGAAAGGTGGTCATGGTTCAAATTGTCATGTGTTTGCTCGCTTTCATGTCAACGTAGCCGAGCTCGCAGCATAACACGTAACACCTCATATATGACACACACCTTACCAAGAGATTTCATCTCTTTCTAGACCTACTCTAATTGGAAGTTGGAAATTTATCATACAAGCTCGCCTCTGCGAGCTTGTTGAGCTCGCTAATGTACACCGAATTCACGCAAATAAGTTGCTTTAATATTAGCTTGCCCATGCACGCTCGGACATATGAATTCAGTCTACTCATAAATGCCTGATGAGGTCGCTCTGGGTTCAAATGGCCCAGGTATAACCTTTTCTTTAACAACTTCCTCATCTAGGGCTCAACTCGGATACATCACAGTTTGTTTAAGTCAAACCTCAGTGTTTTGGTGTGTACCTTGTGCCATAAGCTTTCAGTTTGGCCATTGATGAGGTTGTTCATAAAATCCAAAGATGGGTAGATCCTATTCTTTAGGTCGAACGATGGGCCACGAGAGCATTCAACCCAATCCATTAGCCGAACACTAAGGAGGGAGTAATGTTAGGAATGGGCCCAACATTCAACCTAGGCCATGTACAACAGGCCTAGTCATACATCCATAAGCCCAAAATGAAGAGACATCCATACATTTGTACAGACATACCCACATGGGTAGTAATATGTGGACCAATTGGATGCTCACATGTAGGGACTCATGTCAGCACATGGGGCTATAAATACCCCCCAACTACCTCTACTCAAGGTATTAACTCCATTACGCTTCTCTCTCTAGAATATTGAGTATTGTTAGCTTGAGCGTCGGAGTGTTTTCCCTGAGGAAACATCCTCAGGATTTTCAGGTGTTGAAGTAGTTGAAGATATCTACAGTGTAGGAGGTGAAGCTGCCCAATAATATGCGCAATAAGTCTTTAAATCCTTAGATCATTTTAGTGGACGAATTATGTCTTGTAAGAGTTTTTAATTGATCTACCCATAAAATCCTAATGTATAAATGAAATTAAAATGATATGCAAGGAAAGAATAACTAGGAATTAGGGATCAATTAGATATAAAACCTCAAATATTCAAAAATTTTTAACCACTCATTCAATCTTGAGTTAAAATATCCTATTCTTCACACCACTTATCAAAAAATTTAGTTTATGAGCACCTAGACCTAGTGTGTGTGATAGCCCCAAGTAAAAAGCTTTTGAGTTTAGATTTTCACACTTTAACACTCATTTTTATACTTTTAAATCTTTTTTTCTCTCCTTTTTATTTTTTGGTGTCTTGAATTTCCTTATGTTTTCCAAGATACCCATGTAATAAGTTTTCCACCAATTACTCACAAAACCAATTGGATTTAGGGTATTAGGTGAAGGACATCCCTAGATAGGGTTACTAAGTAACCAAGTCCACAAAACATTTGATTTTTCTTTTATTCTTTTATTTTCTTTCTTTTCTTTTCTTTTTTTTTTTCCTTCTTTTGTAGGAGATGCTCAACTTATCACTTTTCATGTGAATGATGATGCTAGAACTAAGCACCAAAGCCTGATTACTTCATAATTTATTGAATGCTCTTTTATTTTGTTTTTTCTTAGTTTTTTTTTACATGTGCTTTTTAATTACTACTAAATCTTTTCTCTAAAATTCTCACCAAAACTTGTGTTTAAGTGAAATAAGATACTCAATGAACTTAAACTTAATCAAAATGGTGATATATTTTAGACTTTCTGCCTTTCTACAATTTAAGAATTTCTCTCTTATCAACTAAGTTTGTGAATTTCCAAATCAAGAACACTTAATTCCTTTGGCGCTTATTGAACTAATTCCAAAAAAAAAAAAAAAAAGTATCTAGAAGATTTATGCATGAGTTACTGCAGTAATGAACATATCTATGTAGAATATCAGCATGAAGAGGCTAAAACTTCAATTTCTCTCTTTTTTTTTTTTCTTTCAATAAATAGCATGCATCAATCATGATTAACTCATTCATAATATCAATATCCATCCAAAATTGGCCCCCAAACTCAACCAAGCATGGAGCCAACTGAAGCATGATTACTTAACATAAAAAATAATTCTAACGAGAACAACCATAGCATGCAATCAACGTGTCCTAATAATAATTTTTTTTTTTTTTAACATTTTGACACGGGACGGGTTCGAAACCCGCCCAGGGGAGGAGGGAATGCACCTAGCAAGCTGGCTGATGCCAGTGGGCCTAGAGGCCCAAGTGCAACGTGTCCTAATAACAATAGCAAATCAAAGCACACAGTTATGTATGTAAAATATGATATCCTAAGTTAAGATTTTGTATCCAAACTTAAACTAAACATAAAATAAGTAAAGTAGAAAATAAACAGTCCTAATTTTGTGTTTAAAGATTTAAAGTTAAGCTCATTAACAAACTAAATAACTTAATGATAATCTACTTTTAATAAAAGTAAGAGGTTTTAAATTTGAATTGCTTAACATGCGATATATGAGTTAAGGGATGAAAAATAGTTGTTTCTAATTGTGCAACTAAATATCAATAATAATAATCAAAAAAAGACTTGAAGTTAAATTTGAAGTTGAAGCACCTTTAATGTAAGGGGATGTGAAATTTTCCAAACTTACCCGTTTCTTGGCCATAAATAAAAACAAACTTAAATAATTAAAACTATCAAAGAAAAGAAAATTCTCTAGAAATTATAGGATCCATGTATGAAAATTCAAGGTACAAAAATAATAGAATTGAGTAGAAAGCATACCTGATGATGCGATTGAAGAAGCTATGGAGTTTGTAAGGTCACCCTGTTAATTAAGGATTTGTTGGTACTTACTCTTCACTGACTACGTCACTACAATAGAGCACGACTCTCAATAGATGGATATCGAATGACTTAGCAAGAAAAAAAGGACTTAGCCATTTATATATACAGTAGTCCAATAATCTTTCTCGTCAAAGGCCCAATGGGCTTCAGGCCTACATTAACCATCCCACATCCATTCTAAAGGAGATATCTATGGCCCACACAAACTGATCACGACTTGGGCCTTACACACTCTGTCTTCTGTTTTAGACTAGTGTCATTAACCCCTTTTAATTAAACCAAAATCTCCAATTAATGGCAGCCCACACATATAGGAAAATTTTTAACAATTTCAACTTGAGTTGCTTCTCAAGAAGTGCTTAATTTATAGTCATTAACTTGATTTTCTATCACTTCAAAATGGTTTTGGATTAGGTGGTGATATATTCTCTCAATTTCTTAAATTTTGACTTTCTCAATCTCAAGTTTGAATCCACCACAAAATTTTTTTCACTGAATATTCTATAAGGTGGTTTTGGTTTAGGCCAAAAGGTGAGCCTTCCAAATTCTTCTAGGATTAATCCCTTTGATTCCAAGTAAGATAAAGATGTGTTCAAATAATTTTACACTTTAGACAATAATATTAAGACAAAAATTTCATATTAATATATATATGAAAATTCATCTCATCACAATACAATAATATACATTTAGTATTTTATTAAGGGTTTGTTCTAACATAATCTGTGTTTCTTTGTTTAATAAACACAAAATGTGACATTTCATACAATTTCGATCATGATAATACATTTCCTAACATGAATACCCACAGTAATCTCATTGATGCACCAAAAGCTATCTTTAGGTCAAATTTGAAGCATGTTTGGTCAAGCTTTTAATTTTGTTATTGGTAATTTACTCTCATAAATTTAAAAATTTGTTGAAGAAAAAATTTAAATTTGACAGTTTTAAAGTCACTTATAAACAAGTTACAAGAAAGTTAGTGCCATTTTCATGCTTTTTCTCACAGCTACACATTGCTTATGATTATTTTTGCGGCTAGTAAAATTTTTGGCACTGTTTTCTCATAAAGATGCGGAAAAAACCTATTTTTTCTCATTTACCTTAATAAGTTTATAGGTTTTAATTTCTTATCTTATATTATGATACTTTTAGCCCTTTATTTTAATAAATTTATAGGTTTTAACCTCCTACTTTATACTATGACACTTTTAATACCTCACCTATATGAATTGAAGAAAATAACTCTTACTTAACATCAGGTTATAATGTTATGTTAGTTTTGTTAATTGACTGTTAGCTCCATTAGCTGATTGTTAGCTCCATTAGCTGATTGTTAGCATCCGTTAGCATTTTATTATAGAAAACATGAAATTTAAATTCAATTTTATTTGTTAGTTTCGTTAATAAAATGCTAACGGAACGCTAATAATCAATTAACAGAATTAATAATCAGCTAACAAAACTAATAGAACATTAAAACCTAACCTTAAATAAAGGTTATTTTCTTCAATTTATTTAGGTAAGGAGCTAAAAAAGTTATAATATAAGGTGAATAGCTAAAACCTACAAACTTATTAAGGTAAAGGGTTAAGTGTCATTGTATAAGATGAATGGCTAAAACTTACAAAACTTATCAAGGTAAAGAGCTAAAAATAGGTTTTAGCCTAGAGATGTAGGGTTGGTTTGGTTTTGTTCATATTATGAGCTATAGCTTTTTCTTTCCTTTTTTTTTTGCCCCTCAAGATTTGGTTAAAGTGTTTGAAAAATTATTTTTGTAAGGAACTAGATATATATTAGTTATTTGCCAACAATTCTTAATAGCTAAATCAAATAAAGACAATTACAAAAATAAAAATGTACCAAAAAAATAATTAAAAACAAGAGGTTTTGTGAGAAAATTTTGCAACCCTGACATTAATGCAGCTCAGTAAGATACAGGGAATGGGTAATGATATGTAAATAAATTTTTTTGTATAATTTATATATACAACTTTTATATATCACTAAATGAGTGGCTGTATATAATATTAGAAGTTCCAATAGAGTAAAAAAAAAAAAAAACTAATCATTAAAATTATGAAAAAATTGTATAAAAATAGTCTTTTAATCATTTTTCTGTAGTGAGTTGTCCATGTAAGCCTAGAATTTAGTTTTGTTTTATCCAATGAAATCCATGATTATTTCTCAATTCACATGACAGCACAGTGCTTATTTTAAGGGTTAATAGTTTGAGACACTTGTCAAGAACATGTTCGTTTGCTAACCATGTCAATTATTTTCATTTGACGTCCATGCTAAACTACACGTCCATGAATGAAAATTGGAATCTCTTTCAACTAGCCGGCTGATAAAAGAACAATTTCTGTCCCTAGCAAGAAAAATAGATAGCAACTTCGCAAGTCTTTGCTTTGACCTGAGAAAAATATGGTTGCTTCCTCTTCTTGAAAATGCAACTTAGAATAATAATATATTGATGACATATATTTGGAATGTTTCCACAGGATCCTATCTAAAAAGGGACATGTAAATTTAGTAATGCCTTGAGAATTTAGATGAGTTCGGAAAGACCTTATCTTTTGGATTTTATGCTTGGATTTATATGCTGAGTCTTCAATGCCACGAGCCTCCAAAAGGAAGAAAAAATGCATCAGTAAAAAGAGAATATGCAGCAGAATGATTGAATTGGTCGAAGTTCAACTTGTTCATCTAAGCGCGTAATCTCTTATGTCTGTCCATATAAAAATTGGAATAGCAGAGATTAACTTAAAGGTTTACTTTTGCTGTATGTTGCTGTAGAATTGATCTTCGTCTCTGTTGTGCCTATTTCCAAATAACGCAATCTATTCCATTAGGTGCTATCCAATTACTTCTATTTCTGTATCTTCTTTCTTTCTGCTATCAACAAGGTCTCATGATGAAAAACAGTATTCTTTTTGTGATAGTTCTATTAATTACACCACTAGGAACACCTACGAATACACTCTTAACACTACCTTAATCTATCTAGCTTCCAGTGCTTCTCAAACTGGGTTTTATAATGCCACAATAGGTCAAAACTCGAATGTGGTTAATGGGCTTGTGCAGCGCAAAGGTGATATCTCCCATGGAGATTGATAGAAGTGTGTGCCCAAACCGCAGCCGCAGAAATCACAAGGCTGCTGTCCATACCAGAAGAGAGCTCTAATAGGCTATGAAAATTGTCTTTTACGCTACGCAGACTTCAGATGTGCAGGATGTAGATGATCCAAATCTTTTTCACCATCTGTTGCAGTATTTGTTTGAAATTTGTCATCTGCTGCTGCCACCAGCTTGGCAAAGTTTGCCTTTGGTAGCATCAAATACACATTCTTTATGCATGTTATAATATTGATATATGCAGACATACTAATAAATGCACTAGGAAAAATGCATACTGCAACTCCCTGCAAGGTCAAGTCTTCACTCAATTATCTATTACCTTGATCTGCCATCTCTTTGCAATGCACAATTGTCTACAATTGTCTACAACTTCATTAATTCAAGCTAGTACAAGCCGCAATTTCTCCAAGTGGTTTCACACAAAAGCTGGTTTCTTGTTTTTGTATATATATACATATGCCTTTACCGAGATGTAAAAGGATGAGTTCAAGAAATGAATAAACATTTTCCATTCTTTAAAGTTATCATGGTATCAGAGCCTTATTAAGTTCTTGGACTTCTCTGCCCAACTATATCTTCTTTTTTTTTCTGATTGGATTTTTGGGTCACAATCCAAAATCCATCTCTTGTTTTGGCTATCTCTTTCTCCGGCAAAGTTCTAGCCATAGTTCAAGTTTTCTCTATCACTTCCAGTCATATGATTTGACGGTGCTTGTAGCACCGTTCTTGGTTTTCATCAAGACAAAGGGAACTCTCTCTTTCATTAAGTTTCTAGCTTCAAAGCCGTGCGTCTCCAGTTGCTCATTCCTCAATTGGGTGATAGATTCCTCCAATTTAGCTGCCATCAACTCTGCTGCTTGAACGTCGACTTCATCGGACAATCCGGTTTGCCTTTTCTGCTACTTGACTAGTTCCTAAAGCTTTTGTTTTTGGCTTTATTTTCCTATTTTTCACCATCATGGAGAAACCCGATGTTACACAGCCTATCTTTACTATACTTAATGGTTCAAATTACATGCTTTGGGTTCAAGGCATGCGTAGTTTTTTAAAGGGAAGGAGATATGTTATTTATGATATCAAGCTTCCTGAGAAAAGTGTTGAGGAACCTGATGACAAGTTTGTTGATTGCCTTGAGGAATGGGATAGCAAAAATCACCAAATTATTACTTGGTTCCGTAATACCTCCACTCCATCTATTAATCTCCAATTTGGGAGGTATGACACTGCTAAGGAGGTATGGGATCTCTTGCAAAAAGGTACACTACTTCTGATTTGTCAAGTCAATATCAATTATGGGAAGAATTGCATAATTTGAAACAGGAACGTGGTGAGTCTATCACTAGCTTCTATGCTAAAATGGAAGCTATTTGGGATCAACTCGCACTTTCTAAACCAACACTTGATTGCACTGTTGACAATGAGAAATATACCTAGCATTGTGATTGAATGAGATTAATTCAATTTCTTATGGCACTTATCGATGATTATGAGCTGTAATATCCCAAAATTTGGTGATATTTTAGTATTTGAGTAAGGACCTTGGTGATAGAAAATATTATTGAGGGGCTTAATAGCAAAATTTTCAAAAGTTGAGGGACTAAAAAGAAAGAAAATTAAGATAAGGATCAGTTGCTTTCCTTTTTCTTTTTTTTTTTTTTTCTTTCTTTTCTTCCTCATCAGACCCGTGTGTTTTTGCTCTTTTTCTTCTCCCCTGCAGCCGGCAAGAGCCCCAGCCACCGCCACCCATTTCCGGCCAGAAACATCGGTAAAGCTTGGGGATTTCTCCCCATTTTCTTGTTCTAGAATACCTATTAAACCCAGAATTTCCAGATCTGTTCTGCTCTGCGTCTTACTCCCCTTGCTGTCCGTAAATTGTTGGTGGGTGGGTGGCGAAATTTTCAGGTTTTCTGGTAAGAAATAGCCAAGAATTCGTCCTTCTAGCCTTGATTCAAGTTTGGTTATTCTAATTTCTTTTGATTTCCCTCAATTTTGAGGTAGGCCGTGAGCTTCTTCTCCAAAATCCCGTCAGCTTCCATGTTCGCCGAACCTGGCTTTTGCTTGCCGGAAAATTTTGGTAAGTTGCCGGCTCTTCCAAGTCCAATTTATCCATGTAGTTGCTGCTTGTTGAGTTTTAATTGGTTGAATTGATACCCTTGGTTGTCTGAAATTCTGTGGAAATAGGAAGAAATTCGGCAGCCATTTAAGTATATAATTTTAGCTTAAATTCATGTAGAAATGGCTTGATTTAGTTGATGTGAGGTTTTGTATGAAAAATCCCATGAATTAGCTATTGCTTTGCAAAATCCAGTTCCTCCATGTACTGCGCGTGAGATTGGGAAATGTTGCAGCAGCCTTAAACCACTTTTTAAGCTTGATTAAGGTAGAATTAGCTTGATTAATTGCTATGATGTTTATATGAAAATCTCGTGAGATTAGTTATTGTTATGCCAACTTTGAAAGTTGAAGTTACTGTTCATGATACTGTTTACAGGCACTGTTCACACACTGAGGGTCAACAATTAATGAGGATTTAAATGTCTAATTTGAAATATAAGAACAAATTTGGAGATATTCGGTCATGTGGAGATTGATAGAAATAGCACCGTGATGAGGGGTAGTGCTAAAGATGATTTCACTGTGAATTTGTGGTAGTGTGGTATTAACTCTTGGGTATTTTAATTAGGTTCCTGATCGTTCTGTCAGTTTAGCACTGAGTTCGAGTCTTCGGTTTTATGTGAGTGAGGTAAGTAAATTATGATACAACCCTTCGATTTTAAAGCATGTTTTAAATTGTTTTTTTGAGATGGTGGCAAGGTTTAAATTGATTTTATCAGCATCTGAGTGTGATTAAGCTGAAATGAAAATTGTGATGACTTTTATGAAAATTATTATTTTCTGGAATTGAACAGGATTGGAATGAAAATGAGAATTTCATTGTTTTTTGGAGTTGAGCATGCCCACATGAAATTGTTTTCATTTGCATTGAATAGAGCATGCCTATTTGGAATTGACTGAACTGCTTTGATGAATTGAGAATTTTGTAAGTTCTGAATTTTCCGTTAAATCCATGCCCACATGGAATTTTCTGGTTATTTATGAAATTTGAGATTGATTGTGAATTTTGAGTTTTTTTGTAAATTCTACATGGTTTTGTCTCTGATATGATCATGTTTACTGTGCCCACTAGTGGGAGGTTTATAAACGCTAGCACATGTCGACATGTTTATTGATATGACTGGTCCATTATGTAATCCTGCCAATGGGATAATACATTGGTAATTACTGACGCCTGTCAGTGGGAGTTTGTTAAACACTGGTACTTCTGTAACCCTGCCAATGGGGTTAAACATTGGTTATTACTGATGCCCTGCCAGTGGGAGTTGTTAAACACTAGTACTACTACTGTACTCGCTAGTGGGAGGTTTATAAACGCTGGGCATGACCTATAGGTGAGACTACTACTGAATTTTCTTTTGCATTAACGATTTGTCATTAAACACTTTGTTATTGAATTGAACCAGATTTTTGTATTAACGGTTTGCCATTGAACACTTTGCTATTGAGCTGAATTTGATTTTGCATTAACGGTTTATCATTGAAGGTTCTGTTATGCTTACATGATTTATCTGGCATGCTTAAAAATTTTTACCAAGGGTTATCTATATTTACTTACTGAGATATTTTATCTCACCTCGTTTTCCTTGCCCACCATTTCAGGTAGTGTGACCCGAGTCACGGAAATCAAAGGGAGTGATAAGATAGAAGGCTAGCCATTCTAATTGGATATAAGTTTTAGATTTTATCATCATTTTGTAAGGTAGATTTTATTCTTGAGATTTTGTGATTTGAATAAATTCCGAACCTTGTGCATTCGTGAGACCCGTCTCACGAGTGCATGGCATGTGCCACATCCTCGGATTTGGGTTCTTGGACGTGACATGAGCCTTGCAGAGCCTCTTTATTGCATCAATCTCCATTGCCTACTCTAGATAATGCAATATCTCAATTGCTATCTAATGAGACTCATTTGAAGCTACTTAGACCTTAACAAGTTGATACTGTTCTAGCAATAATGAACAGGAATTGCTCTAAGGGTGGATAGAAGTTTTTTCGCCATTGTAATAAGCCCGAACATGTTCTATATGAGTGCAATCTTGTTGAATGCCATAAATGTAAGAAGAAAGGGCACATTGCTTCTAATTGCCCAACTTGACTTTCTCAAAGATCTTATTAGTGGAAGAATCAATCAAGGCCTGATTTGTCTAATAAACCTATGATAGCTACAGCTATTGCAAGTGAAAATGCCACCTCTACTATGTCAGTTGGTAATCTAGAAACTCTTTTTAGACAAATGCTTTCTTCTTCTGCTCTTAGTACATCTACTGCATTGTGTATTGTTTAAGGTAATACTTCTTGGCTTTTTGACTCTAGTTGTCACAATCATATGACCTCTCATTCTCATCTTTTCACTAAATTGATTCCAAATGCAACCGCACCTCCAATTAATACTGTTGATGGCTTACAAATGCAAGTCAGTTAGCATGGTCAAATTTCCACCTCTACCCTTACTTCACCGAACACCTTCTTGATTCCTAAAATTAGTTCTAACCTTATCTTTGTTGGACAATTATGTGAACTTGGTCTTGAGCTAATATTTTCTACTCATAGTTGTCAGGTGTTGGATCCATAGACAGGACAAATTCTTGAGACAAGCCATAGAGTTGGTCGTTTATTTGAACTCACCTCTCTGCATATTCCTTCTAATCGCATTTCCTAGTTATGTGCTACTTCAACAAACCCTCTTTACACTTGTGGCATCTCCATCTTGGCCATGCTTTTCTTAATAAACTCCGTCCCTTACTTTCTAATGGATATTTAGGTTTTGTTAAAGAAGAGTCTTTACATTGTGTCTCTTGTTAAGTTGATAAAAAACCTGCTTTGTCTTTCAATAAAAGTAACTCTATTTCTATTACACCTTTTGATTTGATTCATTCTAATGTGTGGGGTCCTTCACCAGTATCTACTATGGGGGTTTCAAAGTATTTTGTGATTTTTGTTGATGATTATTCTTGTTTCACTTGGATATATTTGATGGAAAAATGCTCTGAGTTGCCCCAGCTTTACATGGATTTTGCTAATATGGTTAAAACTCAATTTTCTAAGACAATCAAAGTTTTAAGAACTGATAATGCTCTAGAATATCTTAACTCTAAGCTTCAAAATTTTCTTAAAGTGCAGGGTACAATACAACAAAGATCTTGTCCATATACTTCCCAACAAAATGGACGAGCTGAATGTAAACATTGACATATCTTGGATTCAGTTTGAGCTCTCCTACTTTCATCCTCATATCCTAAGCGTTTTTGGGGTGAACTTGCTCTTACAGCTGTTTATATCATAAATCGTATCACGTCTACTACCATCAACAACAAATCTCCCTATGAGTGTCTTTATGGTGTTCTATTTATAATCTTCTTAAGATCTTTAGATGTGCATGTTTTGTTCTTCTTCCTTCACATGAACATAACAAGTTGGAGCCTCGAGCTCGATTATGTTGTTTTTTGGGTTATGAGATATAACATAAAGGTTATTATTGTTGGGATCCTGTGTCACAAAAACTTCGTGTGTCTTGTCATGTTGTTTTTTGGAAACATGCTACGTTCTCCTCTCTTTCAGACTTTAAGGTGTCCTCCTCTTATCAAACTCCTTTGTTCACTAACCCATCTCCTGAATTATTCTCCAAGGATGATGCAAGGATTTCTGGTGAGTTTACAAATGAACAACCTACTACAATGCCTTCTCCAAATGAATTTCCTTCTATTGATACTGCACCTGAAACTATTGAGGCTGAGAATATACATGTTGCCTCTTCTTCAAACCATCCTACTCGGGTAAGAAATCCTCCTAGCTACCTTCAAGATTACCATTGTTCTTATGCTCTTATTTCCTTAAATGAATCCCAGTCATATAACGAGGCATCCTCTGACCCTCTCTGGTTAAAGAAGATGAATTACAAGCTTTAGAAAAGACAAGTACATGGGATTTGGTTGATCTGCCTATTGATAAGACTTCGGTTGGATGCAAGTGGGTGTACAAAATCAAAACATGTTCTAATGGATCTATGGAGCGCTATAAAGCACGTTTAGTTGCTAAGGGCTTTACACAGGAATATGGAATTGACTCTAAGGAGACATTTGCTCTAGTTGCTCGCCTCACTATGGTTCGCAGTTTGCTTGCCATTGTTGCTATACAAGAATGGAAATTATTTCAAACGGATGTAAAAAATGCATTTCTTAATGGTGATCTAACAGAGGAAGTTTATATGAAACCACCTCTTGGCCATGATCATCCTTCACATAAAGTATGCAAATTGAGACACGCATTATATGGCTTAAAGCAATCTCCTTGAGCTTGGTTTGCAAAATTTAATGCAATTGTTAGTGAGTTTGGTTTCTCTTCAAGTCCATATGATACTACTTTATTTATTTGTAAGACTAATTAGGGAATGATTCTCTTCTTTATGTTGATGATATGATTATCACTAGAGATGATATTTCAGGTATCCATGAGCTTAAGTAGTTTCTTAACCAAAAATTTGAGATGAAAGATCTTAGTCCTTTAAGTTATTTCTTAGGACTTGAGGTCACCTCTTCAGATAATGGCTACCTTCTTTCTCAAGCAAAGTATGCATTTGATCTTATCTTTAGAGCTGGATTGATTGAAAGTAAGATTGCTTCAACACCTCTTGAACCAAATGCTTGGCTTACACCCATGGATGGCTCTCCACTTAGAGTTCCTACTGTGTATTGACAGTTAGTTAGGAGCTTGGTTTATCTCACTGTAACACGCCATAATATAGCATATGCAGTTCGTTCATATTATTAGTCAATTTATGGCTGCCCCTAGTTCCACTCATTATGCAGCTGTACTTCGCATTATTCATTATGTCAAGGGAACACTATTTCATGGACTCCACTTTTCTGCTCATTCCTCACTTGTACTTCGTGCATATTCCGATGCTGATTGGGCTGGTGATCCTACTGATCATAAATCCACTATCGGTTAGTGCCTTTTTCTTGAAGACTCTCTTATCTCTTGGCGTAACACGAAACAAACTTTTGTATTTCGCTCTAGCACTGAGGCTAAATATAGGGCTTTAGCTAATACTACAGCAGAACTTCTTTGGATTTGTTGGCTTCTTGAGGATATGGGTGTTTCACAATCCTCTACCACAAATCTTTATTGTGATAATCAAAGTGCTATACAGATTGCTCACAATGATGTTTTTCATGAATGTACCAAACATATTGAGATTGTTTATCACTTTATTCACCAATATGTTAATCAAGGAACTGTTCACTTAATCTACATTGACTTTGTTAATCAGCAAGCAAATCTCTTTAATAAGGCACATTTCCCT